ACTGCTCTTTTTAACAGTTTTAAAATTTATCCCAAAACTTTTGAATAATTTTGAATTATTATTAGGTGATTTCATGAAAAAATAGATAAACAGAACAAAATAACATTATCATTATGGAACTATTTTTTATTTTTAAACCAAATATCGTTTTGTGCATTTATTTTTTAAATAAAAACCCATAAGCAAAACAGAACCAAAATTGCAACCAAAATAATAAAAAGTTGGTGGAAAAAAGTCGGCTTTAGCAAATTATAGTAAAATATAATATTTATTGTTATAAACAAATAACATTTTTGTATTATTTCAAAAACATTTATTATAAACAAATAAATAAATAAATAACCAAAAATAATTGGAAACGCAAACAACAATTTAATTTTTTATTATCACGTAAATAAAATTGAAGTTTCGGATACATAACACAGTTTTGTTGTTGTTGTTGTTGTTGTTGTTGTTGTTGTTGTGTTACATCATAAACTGTCAATTGCGACCACTTGATGTTTGTTTTTAAAATTGAAAACGATGATTTGGTAAATACAAAAGTAAACAAATTTGTAAGTTATCAAACTAATCATTTGATTAATTATTTAAAAAATACAACACAATTCAACAATAAAAATTTTTAATAGAATATTTTGAAACAATTAACTTTAAACAACAAATATGGATTTATTATTATTTTAAAGAAACAGTCAAAACTCAGAGAATGTTTAAAATAATTGTCACTCATTCAATCCACCTATAAATTGAATCAATCTCTATGTGAAAGTGTCAATATGTAAAATTAGCTGAGATCGATAATAATTGTCGCTTAGGGTTTTAACACATACAATTTCTGTATTTAATTTCAAAAAGGCATCTCAATATCTTAATTGATTTTTTATTCTGCTTGTAAGTTATATAAATTTTAATTATAATAAAAATAGAAATAACAATAATGTTAACTGAATGCCGCAAATTGATAATTGTGGTTGATATTAACATTGAATAACATGCTTCTGTGTCATAGTGAAAGTGATAGAGTCAAAATAGTTGTAAAATATCATAACAATAAAACGAATCCATTATGCACCGCTTTTACAGACAGTGATGCATCTGTAAATTAATTATTAAGCAACCCAAACAATAATAATAATAATAATAATAATAATAATAATAATAATAATAATAATAATAATAATAATAATAATAATAATTCACACTGTCTTAGGTGTCGGTGTTACAAGTGAAAGTCACTATGTACTGACAATCATTAACTTTGCTAAAGTATATTTGTGTTGTTGTTACAAACTTTGCATTAATACATCAATGCAAAGTTTTTGCAAGACAAGGCAATTAATTTGGTTGATTAAACTTGTGCAACACTCTTTACATAAAAAAGTTCAGCTAAAAGAGATCGACAACTTGGAAACAAAAGACATACAACTGATGGTCGAGAAGATAGCATTTTAGAGAGAGCTGAACCAGACAACAGTAGATCTTGAGGTTGTTGTAGACTTGAAGGATCATGCAATTCCAGAGATAAAGAAGCGACTCACAGAATTGAATAATTAGACATAAGAGACATTGATATTATCATTGTAAGTGATTCACAGACAGCTAGAAGAGGACGTGGTGACAAATGGACAGGCATCCCAGTAAGCATAGTGGCACAAAGAGACAAGACAAGATTCATGAAACCGGGACACAAATTGCACAAGAGATTAGTTGGCATGATGAGGCTGTGACAGCAGTCTGAGGCCATTCCAAGAAGCAAAAGTAGTATTGGATCATACAAGCGACCGACTGGATCATTCATGTTCATTGGGTCCAAATGGTGTTGGCAAGACGAAGCTCCTAAAGGCACTTGCAGAACAGTTGATTGACGATGAGAATAACATCGCCAGAATCGACAGGAGTGAGTATGTGGAGCCGCATAATGTCTTACTACTTAATTTAATAAAAAATGAAGATATTATTATTTAACTTTACAAAGTCAATAGAGTAATTATTTTTAAATAATAACAGTTTTTAAAACCATTCAAAAAAATAATAAAAAATTATTAAAAAACTTAAAAATTCAATTTAAGTAAGATTCACCGTTTGAATAATTTTTTGGAATCGAAAACTTTATAACATCAAAAACCGATTTGTATTGTTATGATATGCAATTTAAAGATGTGTATTTTTCAAAAGATAAATCGATATTATTAATTTAATAATATGATTTTTGTTATTTTCGTATTTAGGAAATGTAATAAAAATGACGATGGTGCCATACTGTGGTTTTTGGTATATTTGTTTTTGTTTTTTATTTCATCCGCAATTCTAAGATTAAATGCAATTTAACAATGTTAATTGCCAATCAAACTAATAGAACAACATTAAATTATAAAACAATTATTGCCGTTTTTTTTATTTGTAATTTTTTATTTGTTATACATGTAATATTGTCTTCAGTAACCGTTGTATTATTGGATTTTAACAACGTGAGAGCATCTTCACAAACCAGTTGTAATATCTTATTTACATTTTTGTTTGTTTTTGTCGAACATTCGATAAAGCCCACTTTCCATTGTTGTGTTAGTTCTATCGTTTTGTTATATTCAACTTCTCTTTCATTTTCCAAATCAATTTTGTTACCCACCATTAATATCGGAAGATGTTGTTGCTCATCAATATCAAGTATCTGATATATTCTTTCTCTAAATTTATTTGCTTCGAGAAATGAAGTGTATGATGTTATAGAATACACAATAACATACCCATCACACTTTCTGATATAATTGTAATAAATCATTTGCAGTGTACAACAATCGGAAGAAGTACCATCGTAAATTTCAATATCAAAAAGTTTTCTGTCGAAAAATAATAATGTTTCATAAACACCTTCTTTTGTGGGATCATAACAAATACAAAACGTGTTATAAATTAAACGCTCACAAATAGAAGATTTCCCAGAAAAAATTCCACCCAACATTGCAATTTTTATTTTATGTTGACAGCTCAAATTCATGTTTTTTCATATTTTAGTTCATTTTATTTTTAAACAAAAAATATTATGTCATGTTTCAAAATAAATATTAATTTTTTAAATTTAAAATAAATAATTGTAATACAGTCGGTCAAATAAGCCTAAAGTGAGGGGAAAAACTCACACCTGGAGAAAAA